TGTGCCGTTGATGTGTTGGAAGGTGTCAAACGAGGCGTGGACAAGACAAATCGCAGTAAGTAAATGATTCATTATGAGTTCTATCCTGGAATCATACTGAGTTCTGTGTATAGTACGTCTGTTTGTGACACTATCCTTGCAAAAATATATTAATGCCTTATGACTGTATATGAAGTTTTAGAGATGTTTATAATAATATCTTATAACTTATATGTGAACTTATGTAAAAGAAAATCAAATATATTCTGTGGTGGAGACCTCGTCTGTGTATATTGCTTACTGGACGCCCAAGTGTTTTTGCATACCAATGGTACATCACACGTACAAGTATGACATTTGGTTATGTTCGTTTTTGCTGTCATGATTCTACGTGTCAGCTTAATTCTAACTAACGTTACAAATGTTTAGGTATTATTAGTACTTATTCTTAAAAGTTGAACTTTGTATTTACAGACGTTCCAATATTCCTGTTTATGACGAAGCAAAGTAACCGTGCACCTACAAAGCCAATGAAAGAAAACATGCAAAAGGCCCAAAAGGATCTAGACATAGCAGCAGAAGATTGTAGGTTTATTCAGCTGTATCAATTCCAAACTCAGGGCTCCGAAGTCAGTCAGAAGACCATTGACCAACCTTTATTGAAGTTTTGGGATAAGATCCTTAGCGTTAAGGATAAAGACAAGCAGGAGGATCCAAAGCATAGCGTTAAGGATCAAGACAAGCAGGAGGATCTAAAGCATAGTCCACAATGGACGAGGGATTTGGTAGATTTAGGCATCTCCCGTCAAAATGTAACTCTACTACTCTGTGTGATCATTGCCTTGATATCCGTCGTGCAACTTTGGAAAGAAGCACCTGTACAATGTCCTGGAGGAAATTGTCTGCCGTCGGATACAAGGTTCGCTGAAGAGTTGCAATCTGGTCTGGAATCCAAAATACTACAGATAAAATCCGAATCAGTTACCCTGAACAATTTTGATGACAAGGTGCAAGAAATGAAATCAGAAATACAAACCTTAGCATCGGAATTACATACTTTGAGCAACAAGTTTGATGGAAGGTTGCAAGAAATGAAATCCGAAATTCTACAGATGAAATCCGAATTATTGAATGCTTTGAACAGCAATTTTGATAAACGGTTGCAAGAAATGGAATCCAAAGTACTAGGCATTTTGAAAAGTGAATTGTCAAACCAAACCACAAATTTGACAAACGATTTCAACGCGACATTGAACAACTTAAATGAAGATATGAATAACACATTAGCAGATATGTACAATAAATTGGACAATAAATTGGAAGCTTTCAACAGAAAGATGAATGAAAACACAGAAAGTACATTAACTACATGGAAGAAAACGGTTGATGAGAAATCATCGGAGCTTAATACAACGTGGGAGCGTGGGTTACTGTCTTTGAAAAATGAAACAGAAAGGACAATGATTGAATTGGACAATAAATTGGTGGCTTTTAGCAAAAAAACTAATGAAAACGCAGAAAGTCTTAACAATACATTAACTACATTGAAGAAAACAGTTGATGAAAAATCACTGGAGCATAATGCAACGTGGGAGCGTGGGCTACTATCTTTGAAAAATGAAACAGAAAGTATGGCATCAAATCTAAGTACAGAATTAGACAGGAAACAAGCAATTTTTAATGGCGAATTAGAAGCTAGAGCTAGCAGATGGGAAAGCAAACAGAACAGAGGGATTCATGTGATGGGAAGAGTGTTGCAATATTGGCGAAGAAAATTCGACCAGACGGTTGGAACTGCGGAGAGTAAACTTTTAAACACAGAGAGTAAACTTTTAAACACAGTTCAGAATCTAGAGAGAATCGTTACTGTATTAAATGATTCTATTAAACTTGCCGATTCGGAAGGTCAAAAGGAACCCATAGAGCAAGGATACCTCGTCCTACTGTATGATGAGTATCCTCTACAAACTATAGTTACTGTAGTCGGTGCCTGCATCGTCATAGGCTGGCTGATCTGTTCACAATGCAACAAGAGAGGGTCGGTGAGTTTTCCTACTGTTTCTAATGTATGTACGTAACAGAAATATCTTAGTTCAGTAAGATAATTCTTTCAATCAGTGACTATTAAATCCTAAGGTACATACCTCCGAATTTTCGACGACTAGAAATACATGTATCTTAGTATCTACCCAGATATGGAGGCTAACTTCTATACATGTAAGTGTAACTCCCCCTGTGTGTAATAGAAACTAAAATGATATACATTTCCACCATGCAAAGTACACTATTTCGGTTTGACTACAAAACTCTTGTCGCGAATGTGCATGTAAGGCAGTCAACAATACTTTTGAAATCTTACAGGATACATGTAAAAATTATTTTAGATTCAAGTTAATTGGCACTTATAATTAACTTAAGATCAGTCAAAATCGCCTTTGTTTCAGGGCAAACGTTAACGATTCATGCCCCGGGCCTGTTGTACGTACATGTACTGACCGTGATATTTACGTTGTATTTCTGATCTCATCCTCTATCAGAGACGACTGCCGCTGACAGCTAGACGTCGGTTAGGGCAGGCCCCGGGGGCATACGGCGATACAGTGTCTGATGACGAGGAATGGCTGGATGAAAATGTATGTATTTTATCAACCTCTAAAACAATTCTAGACACATTGGTTTTATTTGTGAATGAATGTATTTGCTTCTGATCAATTTTTCATGTTCCATAAAAACGATAGTTAGAATAAACCGATCTTTTTCTCTGTTTTTGCTCTTTCCCTGACTCGTTCATATGTTTAAATTCAGTTGACTTTATGTACTTTGTGTTGACTTTATGTACTTTTGGGTTGACTTTTTGCACCGGTACCTTTGATTTGTGTTTGGATCTTTGTTTCTATGATTTCTGTACCTATGTTTATGTTCTGGTGTCTTATAAGCCCATGTGGGCTGGGCGACAAAGAAAGGCCGCAAGACACGGAGATAGAAATTAAAAATTCATTCATTGTGCCCCTGTGCAGCGCCAAGTTTGCATCGTAGCGTCTCTGGACTGGACTCTGGATGAGGTGGAACGTTGTGTGAAGGCAGCCGTGCAGGAGAGAGGTCTGGCCAACACTGCCGTCCTCACTCTGCGGATCTCAGGCCAGGACGACATAGACGGCCTCAAGCGGACACTCCAGAGGGACACGCGCGTCATCTGCTGTGCCAACTCTACCACAAGGAACATCCTACTGTCCGACACGGAACACGACGAGATCAGCTATGTAGTCAAGGCAGCGGAGAAGATTGTAGGGGGAAGTGGTGAGTAGCACTAAGGCTGTTGTATACGAATGGACTAATTGATTTATTATTATTCTTTACAAAACACATACCATTGCAGCCTTACATGGCTGAATTGGAGCATGATACACATTAGAATAGACTTGATTATTTATCACATTTATCTAGTACGTATTAGAATGGTTCAGCAACTTGACAATAAATGGTAACACTACTCCTAAACCTAGACGTTCTGCGGCTAAACTCCGTGAAGCATGAGGAAATGAAACCCAAACAACAAGTAATTTGCTGAAGCAGTTCCTTTTCACAGTATATCTAGTATTAGCAGATGTTATCTAGTAGTAGCAGATGTTCCGGTGGCAAAGTCGTGCCAGCCAACAAAGTATACTGTCGCATAGCCACGGAAAGATAAACTTGGAGATTACTAGTATCTGTCAGTGGAGACGGAGTTTGTAGTAACAGACACAGCCCGTGTCTAAACTTTTGCAATATGTGCATGACTGTACTTCTAAAGAAAGGGAAACGTACACCAACATTTTTCTCTTCGGAAAAAAGCAGGGACATTTACAATTCTGTGACTTAGCGTGGCAGTGTGAGGGTATAGATTTCATAACAGCGGACACAGCCCATGTCCCAGCTTTGATTTGATTTGATTTATTGAAATTTTAAACAGTGCAATACACGCGGAACAGAGGCAGCTGTTGCTGATATGTTGTGTCCCGCACATAGAAACGAATACTGGACAGACAATACTCATTTTCACTTGAGACTATAGCTAGTGGGGAAAGTCGTGTAAAGTGTCTTTCCCAAGGGCACAAAATCGGTGGCATGTCAGGACTCGAACTCGAAACCTCTCGGTTCCGAGTTTTGCGCACGCTGCTGTTGCGCCACACGTCCAAGCTTTTGTTTGTAATCGGTGTGCCCGACTGTATTTGCAATGGCATTGTGTGGATAAGGACAGAGGAACATTCAGCAACATAATTTTTCTTCTTTTCACAGGAGTGATGGTTCTGCTGTATGGGCACGAGAAAAGCAGGGGCATTCAACAACTGTATGACAGCACGTCATTCGACAGGACGTTCCTCAACAAGCAGACGCGGCTCCACAACAAGGCACTCGGCCATCTGTTCTTTAGCGTGTCCAAAAGTTTGAACGACATTCAAAAGCGCAGGATTTGTGACTGGATCCGTGGAAACCTGTAGCCTAATTAGTGTACATGTGTTGTCCAAATGGATGAGAAATTCCTCTAGCAAAACATTTTGCATGTACGTAGAAAAGTAGTTTCAAAGGTCAGAGCCAGCTCTGGTCATATTGTTGTTATTTTCCGATAGGAGATCTCATGATGCTTTGTTATCGAAGAAAGATTCAGTTGTCTTTTGTCAAATGCACCTTTTGATTTACACCGAAACTTTGTCACTTATAGATTTATCAGTGTTTTAATTTTAAGACGAAATGACATGAGCAATGACAAGTTGTCTTTATTCAATGTATAGTGTGGTAGTTAATAAACAATAGCTACAGCAAAACATTGATGGTCCCGAAATTTGTACTTAATGTTATAGTGGTTAGCTGAACTTCGAAAACGTTGTTGTTAACTATGATAACACATTTATACGTATTTACGTTGTTATGAACGACCGCACGTACATGTAGTGTTTGACGCTGCTTTGCCGTTCTCATGGCGTCTTGAAGGGAATGTGTACGCCTAGTGTCACAGTGATTCAAAATATGTGGCGTTCGCGCGATCGGCGGTCATATGCATGCATGCATGCCATTTACTTTACATGGTTGACTGAATGCACTTGTATTGTATGGACCTGTACTCAGGTCTGGGAGTGCCAATCCAGCCTGGAAAAGAATTGCTGAACTAGCTTTTAAAACAAACCACAAACAGTACCCATGATAATAAGGGGCAAAGTATGAACCTGTCAGCTTTATCTTTATGGCCCAGTCTCCTTTTTGTGGACAAACGCAACAGCGTTTGTTTACTAAGCCGTCTGGCAGAGTTCAGTGTTATCATCACATACCAAAACAGCTATACATGTAAACATAAATGTAGAAAAAACTACTTAAAACAGCCCGTTTACTAAGTTAAAAAGGTCATGATCAGTCTACTACTCTCGCGTGAGATTTAACTAAAATACCAATCAATCAATCAATCAATAAATCAATCTTTATTCAAACAACAAGTCTGAATTGAGTTGTTTTTTTCAATTCATAAAATTAGATATTAAACAATACTAATGGTTTAAAAATTACATAATTTACACATGTACAATAATCACACAAAATCGGTAGAGAGCTATAATAATGCCTATTTACACTACAAGTAGAGGTAAAGGTCAACGCACTCAGTCACTCTATGCCCTCTTAAGTAAAAGTAGGGAAGAACTGCATTTAACTAGCGTTTAACAGCTCAACAATGTAGGGAATGGGCGATTTTTTGTACCGTTCTGTGCGGCAATACGGAGTGTCAAACTTATGTGCAGAACGTGTTCTACCAAAGATATTCTGCCTTACTGGGGGCAGCCATTCGCGAAAGTCAGAGTTCAAGAGAGATTCTGCAAATGTTCTACAGATTGTGCGGCGTCATGCTTCTATGATTGGTCCAGAGTCACGCGGCTGCATATCTTATCAAACTGACCAACTAGAGCAGAGTTTGATGCAGCTGAAAAACACAAATCCCGTCGGCCTCGACACAAACAAGTTGGCAAGCTTCGCAGGCGCTGAGCACTACTCCTCGGTCGGAAATCGGCCGATACAGACAGTATAGCTTCAAGATGGCAGTTGGCAACGCAGTAGAAAAACTCCGCGAGAACGTAAAAGATAGAATCAACAACGCCACTGCCGAAATGTCTAACGTCCTCGTTATTGGCCTGACTGGCAGTGGAAAATCGTCCCTGATCAACTCAATAGAACAGTCTGTTGTGGGCAAGCCGGCAAACCTAGCCAGGGTCGGCAGGGGTGTGGGAGAAAATGTCACCTTGTGTATTGAAGGCTGCGACATGTTCTCAACGCTTGGGGACAACCTGAGAGACAAGGTGAAGTTCTGGGACTTTGTCGGCCTTCCGAACCGGGACGACGAGGCCATCAGAACCCTTATTTCACTAGCTCTTGATGGCCGTATTCCTGAAAACCAGCCTCTGACAAACCCTGAATACTTCGAGATGTGCAAGGAGGAGTTAGAGGACGAGTTTCCGGTGATCCCAGATGGACCAAAGATCCAGCGTGTTGTTGTCGTGTGCGCGGCTGATGAGGAGATACCCACAAATCTCCTGAAGGCGACGAAGAAGGCGGCTCAACCGGCGACGACGGCAGCAGATCGCAGTGAGTCTACAATTTGGTGTTTGTAGTGCTTGTCGTGACATAGGCTTTTCGTAATAGCGGTTCATGCTTGAAACTCTGTGTTCATGATTTGCGCAAATAGCGATGACATGCTGTAATACACGTAGCCTTGTGTTTCATGTTAGAAATATTACCATTGAGTAACCGTAGCTATACACATGTAGAAATGATCGTTAATAGATACAAACTACCATTAACATTAGACTACTAGTATCATTTGAATAATTAATCAGAACGGTCTGTGCTGTCATAATCCAATGCTAGATTATTATCATCAAGTCCCTTCTCCTATCCGATCCTATGATAATTCTGCCGTCCGTGAACGATTTCATTAGGTTAGAAAGTGACTGTGTAACAAAGTTTTTCGTTCATAGTTAACCAAGAATATTTACACGCCGAGGTTTCGGTGACCGTCTCCTTAGGGCAATATTGACTGGATCTACTTCGCACAGCAGTAGCTACTAGTATGTGTCGTTCTAACAGTGCAGCAGCGACACCTAGCTGCAGTGCCAAGTAGTTCTGCCGCATTGCCCTGAGGAATGTGACTCAAGGTCACTGAAACGTTAGCCTTGGTTGTGAATGAAGAACTTTGTTTAAAAGGTTCTATATGTTTTCAGACATACCATTGTTCCTGTTCATCTCCAAAGTGGACAAGATGGTCGGAGAGGCGAACGCCGAGGGCCTCAGCCGAAGGATACACAAGGCCAGGGACACCCTTGATGCAACAAACTACTTCTTCGAGAAAGCTACCCTGTACCATGAACAAACTAATGCGGTAAACGACCCAGGTATGGCTTCAAATGATTCAACTGATGAGTCTCTCTTACGATTTTTGTTTAACATCCTGAATCCTACGCTCCGGCTGGTTTACGCCAAACCACGACCTGAGCCAATACTGGGTGACCTCAGGCGAGCGAACCGACGAAAGTACATTCGTACAAAGCGATGGGTCAGAAAGAACCTTTGTCCACTTTGGATAGCTGAAGCCATATTGCTGGGTCTGGTAGCAATTGTGATAGCAATTGTTTATCTTAATAGAAAGTAGACCATGATGTGACCCTCTAGGCAAGGTCGGCTTGCATTGTACCATGATACATGTAGCTGATATTAGCTATCATGGTACAATGCAAGCCGACCTTGCAATATTACATTCATTTTAAGTTCATGTTGGCTACCATAGGTTCAGCGGTAAGGTAGCAAAGTTCACGGTCGGATGAGTTTCCCCTACTGGTTCCGGGTCGGAGTTGAAATTTGACTGGAGCATGCATAAGTAAGATCAAGTAAGTACACGGAGGAATGGTAACCTTCAGTTTGCTAAAGGGTGTAGGCCTACCTGAAAGTCGTAGAAGAAACTCTTCCCACGCGTCAGCACTATGGCATATATACGAAAATTCTTCGTGTAAATTAGATCTGCAGAATTGTCAATCTAATATGTCAATCAATCTATTATTTTACATCCGCAATCTTGGATTTTTTTGACAACGTGTAAATTAAAGGCAAGCCTTATTACAAAGCAGTTATCTTCGACCGTGAAGGAGTACCAGACCTTCAAAAGCACAAATTGACACTGTAGGTTAAAGATACAAAATTCTTCATGTATGAATATGTAAATCTATAGACTATACAAATACATGTATAATGTTAAATTGAGCCGAAAGCTACCATGGATATGTAAATAGAGCAAAAATAACAGACATTATTTGGTGAAAGCTGTTGTATGGCAACATTTCTTGCAAAGACAAAATGTGCGTCAGATTTCTTTCCTTTGTGTCTGTTTTGTGTGTGTATCTGTATTTATGTATGTGTGTGTGTGTGCCAGTGTGCGTGTGTGTGTGTGTGTGTGTGTGTGTGTGTGTGTGTGTGTGCGTGTGTGTATGCGTGTGTCATTGTGTGCGTGTCTGTGTGTGTGTGTGCGCGCTCGCGTGTGTATGTGTGTGCGTGTGTATGTGTGTGCGTTTGTATGTGTGTGCGTGTGTATGTGTGTGCGTGTGTATGTGTGTGCGTGTGTATGTGTGTGCGTTTGTATGTGTGTGCGTGTGTATGTGTGTGCGTGTGTATGTGTGTGCGTGTGTATGTGTGTGCGTTTGTATGTGTGTGCGTGTGTGTGCGTTTGTATGTGTGTGTGTGTGTATGTGTGTGTGTGTGTGTGTGTGTGCGTGTGTGTGTGCGCGCGTGTGTGTGTGTGTGTGTGTGTGTGTGTGTGTGTGTGTGTGTGTGTATGCGTGTGTCATTGTGTGCGTGTCTGTGTGTGTGTGTGCGCGCTCGCGTGTGTATGTGTGTGCGTGTGTATGTGTGTGCGTTTGTATGTGTGTGCGTGTGTATGTGTGTGCGTGTGTATGTGTGTGCGTGTGTATGTGTGTGCGTGTGTATGTGTGTGCGTGTGTATGTGTGTGCGTGTGTATGTGTGTGCGTGTGTGTGCGTTTGTATGTGTGTGCGTGTGTATGTGTGTGCGTGTGTGTGTGTGTGTGNTGTGTGTGTGTGTGTGTGTGTGTGTGTGTGTGTGTGTGTGTGTGTGTGTGTGTGTGTGTGTGTGTGTGTGTGTGTGTGTGTGTGTGTGTGTGTGTGTGTGTGTGTGTGTGTGTGTGTGTGTGTGTGTGTGTGTGTGTGTGTGTGTGTGTGTGTGTGTGTGTGTGTGTGTGTGTGTGTGTGTGTGTGTGTGTGTCGTGTGTGTGTGTCGTGTGTGTGCGTTTGTATGTGTGTGCGTGTGTATGTGTGTGCGTGTGTGTGTGTGTGTGTGTGTGTGTGTGTAGTATGGATAGATATTTACGTGTCATGGTAAAAATGGTAGACTTTAAGGCGCCGTGTAGAGAAGGACCATGTAACGCCGTGGCGCCACCTATGTTTATGTAAACATTACATTTTGCGCGCAATGAGTAGGGTAAGGGACATCATGCAATTCCCTTCGGCCTTTTTCTCAACTGTGCTTCCGCTCATACAATAAACATCTGAACGTCAGTCCATAAAATGATATAACGATGACATACCTGCATGCAATCGTGAATACGTAAAGGCCTTCAATTGAATTGAAATTTAAACAGGTTATATAGACTGGTTTACTCACAACACTGTACTGTAAAATACCTTTGACTGATGGCGAAACCTTTGCCATCTTTTAGAAATTAAGTCTCAGGTTTTTCTTCTTGTCGTTTCTTATCAACTTTGAGGGTGTCCAGGGGATGAAGTCCTATCGTCACGTCTGATCGTTGCCTTAGGCTGTTAGGCTATATGCTGATTTGAATTTATATGGATGACATCCGGATCCTCTGGGAACCCTAAAACTGATGCGAGCGTGTGGATAAAAACTTTGGCAAAAAAATTGCCTTCATCATAAAATCTACGTGGCCATGAAGGTTGAAAAAATGACTAAACACGTAGAGTATGGTATGCCTCTATGACTCTATTCAAGGAGATTACAATGGCCCTCCCTGCCCTAAAAGACTCTTCGTACGTGTTTTCATTTCTTCACATTTTCTTTGCATTTGGCAATCTATGACAGTAGTATTGTTTTACAATATATTTTTGGCAACGTGCGGCATACATTTGCTCATTTTGCATCTGCTCTATACGATTTACAGCAGGCCAAAAAAACTTTTTTTTAGAAATAGACGAAAACTCATCCGTATAATTAAATCAACGTGGCCTCACTGCGAACTTGTGACTCCTCACGATCATCTGCATACATTAAACCGTCATGAACTTTTCACACTGACCTTCTGATGACAGTTCCAAACGACTGATAGGTTATCTTTGGCAGGTTAACGAGGAGTTAATTTACCGACCCGTCTGGGCAGTAAGCTGAGCCAAGCCCTTGTGCTTGTCTGACAGACAGAATTCGAAGAGCAAAAAGGTGTCCGTGGAGTCAATAAACAATTCAGCGTTGTCAGACAGAGGTATCTGACCTTAGATAAATCTTCCAGAACTGATGTAGCCTGGGTGCCATCCTCTCTAGTAGTTTCTAGTCTCCACCAGACTTCTTTTGCGGGGTGAATAAATCGTAGAAATCGGTCTAAAAAGGGTATTAATTGGCCAGAGAAGATAGCCGGCCAGAGAAGCTCCATTGTCCCGCCAAGAAGTCCTTTTTAGGCCGATTTCTACGATTTATTCAACCCGCAAAAGAAGTCTGGTGGAGACTAGGTAGTTTCCGCTCGCTCCCTAATGTCGTCCGTGGTAGCCAGGACATTAACATCCGTGTCCATAATATCACCAGGGTCCATAATATCGCCACCTTGAGAAACAGTGTGCTTAAAGATATTTTTACTGCAACATACCCTAGGTATGTACATTTGATGTGTGAAGGAGTGCATACCAAAAATATGTTGCAGTAAAAACATCTTTAATCACACTGTTTCTCAAGGTGGCGATATTACATGTATGGACCCTGGTGATATTATGGACACGGATGTTAACGAGCTGGCGAAAACTACGGAGGATGGCACCCAGGCTAATACTGATGACTAAAGATTAAGAAAAAGACACTGTTACCCAGGCTAAATGCTAATATAAGGGTGGATCCGTTGACCTTGGTGATCTAACCTGAAGATATACTTGACAGCCAAAACACCCGGCACGTGACTGCTAGCCAACGACAACTGTTGATTTCTTGATCATTGTAACGCGAACAATACTTTCCTGACACACCTCACCTCGGTCAGAACGAGAAAGGCGGGCCGTCAGCGAGGAAAGAGCGGCTTTTCTCTCATTTTGACTGAGGCTTCTTCGACACCGTGTAAGTACGAAAGGTGAGTAACAATTCTGCACTCAGCTATAGAACAGTTGTGTAAAGTTTAGCAACTACTAGTAATTCGTTGGGTAGACTACAGCTATTGGCTCTGGAACTATACGAAACATTATCTGTTAACTTATTAAAAAGGGCTAGCCTCTGCCAGGTATCGGCTGTAAGCGGCTGGAAAGAGTAAAAATTGGCCAGAAAAACAGATAACATACCAGGGGAGTTGGTCCGCGCTGAGAGAACATTTTGCCACTACCCATGGGATCGTGGTAGAGACTACTAAAAGACTACTAATTTGATACATTTAAATGTTCTACTCTGTGAGTTGAAAGTATACAAAGTTTACGCCGTTATCCACTCTACTCATTAGCTATTTTGTACATGTATAAGAAACAAGTTCTAGACTGGAATATAAGGTGCCCGGGGGTTCACTAGTTTACGATCATGATTTTGCCAAAGGGTACGCGTGAGACGACACAACTCCGCACGGTACTTACAAACGTTTCCCAATCTGAACATGTATGAACAGACGGTGTAACTGCAGCTGAGTTAAAACAATCTTTCTCTTGGAAAGGAGTAGGAACGCCTGTCTCATCAGCTTCTACAAACTAGTCTACAGCCAACCATATTAATATACAAACTGACAGTCTACGTAAACCAGACTATGGGTGCACCCAGGGGAGCCACCGCCTCAAATTCCAAACTGTACACGCTAGAGCGAACCTTCAAACATCGTGATTTGGTTTTTTGTTGAAGGTATACATGAAATAGCATTTTGGAGTCATGGATCTTGGCACAATTTTAGCATAGAATGAGATGCTTGTTTCATGTCATTCATAAAAGACACTTTTTAAACGTTTGAAACTATTCATCTAATATATTATCTTTTCACACGCACCCTCTTGCAGTTAGACATGAGATGTGTTCAAAACTAGTACATTCAAACACTGACTTCCTGAAAGCGAAGTTATGAGAACACTTGTGAAAAATCCAGCCAGTTCGTTCATAATCCTTTCACGCGTGTTATCTTACAGTTAGACGCGAGGTGTGTCAAAACTAGTACATTCAAACATTACCTTCCAAAAAAAAAGTTTTTCAACGTTGATGAAAAATTCATTCAGCTCGTTCATCATCTTTTTGCACGCACAGTTAGACGTGAGCTGTGTCAAAACTAGTGCATTCAAACATTGACTTCCTGAAAGTTATAGCGAGAACGCTAAAAAGAATTCATTCAGATATCGTTCAGGCATATTTTGAACGATGTTATCAACACAAAGCTTCGGGATATTGGAGGTTGTATGACGTCTGCTGTTGTCAACACATCATGATACATCATTTCACAGGAAAACAGACGTCCATCTGAGTGAGAAATCTCAAAACACACATGGGCTGAGAGTGACGAATGTATTTGGCTGTGAACGTCAAAACTACGTCTCTAAATCATGTAGATTTTAACTTGGGAATGGGGATTTTAAATGTTGTAGTTGAGCGAGATTGTAGAAGCGTGTTGAGACAGACTTAATTGTCTGTGTAAGTGAGAAGTTGAGGTGTGACACCACTCGCCCTTTGCGTTGAGACAAGGCCAAGAAGAAATTCTAGACCTCTTATCATCATCGGCAAAATTCCAAGCCTCATCGCTGCCTATGTCCTGCCGTGATAGCTGCACATTTGATGTGTATGTATAAAAAAAATGTTGTCAGCATTATCTCGATGTAGTGTTACAGTATAAGTAGCGCGTATAAATATACATGTGTAGATCGTGTCCCAAAACACCGACAGCTAGATATCGATCAGATCCAACCCGCGCCGGCAATATAGCCAAGAAGCGAGATTACTATCTCCTATCTGTCACTTCTGTCTTCCCAATATTGCACAGTGAAGGCATTCGTAGTATGTACCTACATTGTGACAGTCACTTGTTTAGTAAAATACTCCTTCTTGACAAACGGTTTATTTGTTGTATGAACCAACAATGTCAACACAGCTGGGAGGAGCGCCTGAAATGTCTTACTTGGGCGCACTTTGTCACTGTCAAACTCTCAAAGTGGCCACTGTTGAAACGTTTGTCCACAAATTAAATTGAAACATTTAACTTGGAAAAACACCGTAAGCAATGCTCGCCTCATGAGCAAGTTTTGAGCATTGTTATGGTTGTCATTTTCAACAAAATTGATGGGGAGGATGCCAAACATTAGCTTCTCCGGAAATAATTGTAGATCAGGGTGTGACAAGTCACTCGAAGTAATATGGCCAGTCACGGACGTGTGTTGGGCTGGTTATAATGAACGAATTCAAGACCGTCATTGTACATTTGTGCCCATACGAGCTATCCACAGGTCATGGTGATACAGTTCTATGTACACACAGTGATACAAGTCTAGTATCTTACCGTAACATCTGTAGCACATCTATGTATAGGTTCAGCTTCTTCAGACAGTTGAAGGTGTAAGAACACATGGAGCGTATGATACATGGTTTATCGAGTTAGCTGCACTAGAAATATAAAGTTTTCTTTGCTATCTAAATATCTTTTCTAGCTTTCATGAATAAAGAATGGTTCAAACAAAACAAAACAAAATCTATAACTTGGGAACTTAATTAATATCTAATATCTAGTATACAATTGAAGAGGATATTTCTCTCGCTGTTGCATAAGGTACGTACAGTCCACAATAAAATGACACTCGTCTTCTAGGTTATAGAAAATTCTTTGTTGCAAAGCTTAAGGAATGCCGTTGTGTCTGTCTTAACATTTCCCCCCAACATGAAATGTACGTGAACTAATCCGGAGTTTTGTGATAGCTATTCTGTACATTACAAGGTTGGGCTCCTGATATCCGTTGCGCGATGTTCGGACGGTGGATTTTCGGCTGGAGAATGATAGAACCGACACGGATCTACGACAACATTTCACAAATGTTATC